CCTCTATAAATCTTCTGTTACAGCTCAGTCATGCTCATTCATTGTTAATATTATTATCTTCTGTATTGCATTTACATTGGAAAAGTTTTTACAATCCACAAGTCCATCACTTTATTATAAGTGCAATTGAATACTTCAACTAATGCGTAAAAATTGTAACATAATGAGTGCCATGTTGAAAGAGCATCTTTCTACCTGTCAAAAGAATTGCATATGTAGTTTATTCTTATCTGAGTAAAAACAGAAAATCTAGAAGGAGTTTCACAAATACTGTCAGGTGTTTTGCTTATATACAGTAGCTTTTGAATAGTAAGTCTCACGTTATGAACTCACTTACACCTGGGATCCACTTTATTCAAACTCGGGTTTCTAAAAATGCAACCAGGTACTAGATGTTGTTTAAATACAAGTTGTGCAAATTTTCACAAATCACGATCTTTGAAATGCCTGTGGTTTGACAACTGTCATTTGTTTGCAAAGTTATTGACAACTGAAACATTGTGTGTCAAAAATAGGCATTTTCATAAGAAAGCAAAGGTTGACAGTGACAAATCACCCCAAGCAGTTTGAAATGATTATTTATTGTTAATAAATTTATATTATTCATAATGATCAGAGATGTCATTATACTTTAGTTTCAGTGGTCTTTTTAGTACCATTTTGTTATTCTAGATTATAGTTACAATATATATGATTTTGTTGAAAGTTGTAAAGGCTTGTGTTAAATTGCCCCCCTGGGATAAATTAAGTATTTTGATTGAATTAAATTAAACTGGTTGAACTGATTTTTACTTCCACCGTTTACAGTATTCACTCATTCATGTTTTTATTTATATTATTTTAAAATTTGTTTATAAAATGTTTATAAAGAAGGTGTAATACTGTTGGGTATTTTTTTAGTTTCCACTACTAGCCATATATAGTATGTATGACATATTTCTATTCCTAAATTAATACTGTTTTTGATGTTCAGAGACATTATACTCCTGTTATTTTTATGCTCAGCAACCAAAATTTCCCTTTTATTGTAAATTCTATATTAATAACCCATATTAAGTGGATTTAAACATACACAGCAGAGAGAATAAATAAAGCACTCATTTCACTAACTAATGAACCTCAAGTGCCACCTGTCGATCATCTTTGGCCAGTGAAGTACTGTACATACCGCAATGCAATGCATGACTTTTACTGTAGATGCGTTCTTAGTGGCTGCACCTGCACTTTCTACAGTGCTTAAAGAAATGCAGTATGGGGAAGCAGCTACTCATGAACTTTTACTGCAGCACCACAGAAAGTGTGCTCACTAGTGGTATCACTGTATAGAATCAATCAGTGAGATTCACACCATCTGCTGTCGCAATAAAGCCCAATCCATCATTCACAGTCCTAACCATCTTGGCCACAAACTGTTCCCCCCACTGCACTCTGGCGAAGTGGTACTTAACCATTTAAGCATGGACCACTAGGCTTACGAACAGCTTCTACTCTACTGCTGTGCCCATCCTTAATAGCTAACTGAATGCCTCAGAACTCAGTGCATCTATGCACTAAGCACTTTTTGCTTAGTTATTGTTCTCTCTAAAGTTATTGTTCTTGTTGTTACTATTTATTATGTACCACTTTGTAATGCACATTGTGTGGTGTTGTCTGTTGTACTGTGTGTTCTGCTGTACTGTGCATGTAATGAGAGAGCATCGCAAATATTTTTTTTTTTAGGCAGTGGAAACTTTCCTCTTTAAAATAAATCATTTTTAGTTAATAGATTATAATTCTTGGGGCAGCATAACATAATCTCTAGGGTACTTCAATATTATTATTCCATTATTATTATTTCATTCCACTATTATTATTATTCAATTTTTCATAAAATAGGAAGAGCATTTGCTATTTTTTGACTGACCTGTTGTTTCTGGTGGTTTTAGCATCCTTTACAAAACTACATTGAAATATTACAGCAGACTAAAGTAAACACATACTAAATACATACCCTAGAAATGTATTAAGGTTTATCATAATATTTGTCATGAATAACAATAATACAATTTCATTGGTCCATGGTAGAATAAGCACAATGATACTTTGAAATGGTAGGAAACAACAACAAAACTGTAGTTAAAGTTTAAGAATCATATGGTAAATTTGCTGGATAAAATTTCTGTGATATGCAATATCACATGATATGGAATGTGCAATATGGATAGAGATATTTACATGAGGTTTTCCAGAGCACTTGATCTCCCACATCAGCATATTACTTAATGTATTCCAAGGAACATGAATTTTCAAAATAAACCTTCTTGCAGTGTTACAATTTGATCCTTACCTTGATTAGAAAGCTGCTAACTAAAGAAGCCGTGTGGCTTTGCAAATCAGAGGAGTGCAGATAGATACATTGATTACTTTTGGATTAATAGACTGAACTGAAACATTTAAACAAATGCACCCATTCATACACTTTTCAATAATCACTTATCCTATTCAGTAAATTCAAAATAGATATCACCCCTAAGTTATTTCACAGTTTTTAAAACGTTACCTTTATAAGCTGTTTCATTTGTGCAGTCTTCACTATAAACCTCTTGTTTTTGTTTCTGTGTGGCATTTCAGATATTTAGATATTTCATTATTACTTCACCTAGTATATTGTTGTGCAACATTTGATCTACGAATAATGCATAGTATATTAATGAATAATATATTTGTGGTGTACATACCACATTGCACCATGGGTTTTTTTAATTTTCTGTTGCTGGGCTGCACTACTTTGTAAAACTGCCAGGTGGTGCAGTGAATGCTTAAATATGCAAGTATTTGGCCTGTCACCTGAAAACGCATGGTTTCAAATCCCGTTCAATGCTCAGCTCAATCTTTTTCCAATTAAAGAATTGAATTTGTATACTGTTTCTACTTTTATTAAATTTATGTCATATTTTACAGTATGTTAAATATTAAATAAATATTTAAAAAGACAGTAGAGCTGCTTTACAAAACAAAATTACATAGCAAAATTAATAGCAAACTATTCAATTTTCTTTAAAAGTCTTTAACTAACAAATGTCATAATACTCCATTGCTGTGTCAATTAAGACAGTTCTTGGTTCTAATCAGTTTCTCACTGAATCCTCTTTAAGTAACTAGGCAATTCAAAGAACGTTTAAAGTTTCAACCTGTCTATCGAGCTATGCTATACTATGTACTATGTGTAAAGTTTTATTTATTTTAAAAATATATTAGACATGACAACTGTTTTTTAATACAACAATTTTGTATTTAAATGGTCAAATTAAAACAGAACTTTTGATTGCAGAGTCATTTGAGTTAATTTGCTGTGTTCTGTAACTTACGGTTACTTATGGTAAGGCGCATTAGTAACCAGGAGAACACCATCAGAAATTGTCCTAAACAGCTGAATCAGTGACTACTGGGAATGTATATTGAAAATAGAGAGTGAAAATAAAAGCATACACCCAGTTTCTCTTCCCCAGCTGCTGGGTGATAATGTACCACCAAGCCATGGAACACTCCCTATAGCGCTAAATCAGAAAAGTTAAGTGCAAATAAGTGCTATGCACCACAAGTGCAACTTGTTGTTCTCGTGTATAGTACACTCACGTATGGCGTATAACTGATAAAATATAATCATATCAACTACTAAGAAGAAAAAAGGGCAGCAAAAACACATACAAAAATAAAATTTAGTTTTAAAATTTATAATTTAAAACTAAATGTCGTATATACATAAAAAACTCCATTGCGATTTCTGTTTAAGGACATCTTTAAACTCCTTTGCTCTTTCTAAGCATTTTGGAGATTGCTGGAGATTATTAATCTTATTTTAATTTTTTACATTCTGTGATGTATATAATTATCAGAAATGTGAATAAAGTTTTCATTTTATTTTATTGTGAGAGGAAGTCTTTATTATGCCCAAGTGATAATTTGTTGAAGAGGTAACTTGGGTTTTGGCTGGAATCAAACTCAGACCGTTTCGTGTGATAGAGCAGAACTCTGGTTAGTGTTTGATTTTCCATCACAATAGATAAAAAGAGCATATTAGAACCTTCCCAAAATAACCACAGCAAGTGACCAAGTTAAAAGACATTGATGTAGAAAGTGTTTATGAAGAAGGTGGAATACTGTTGTGTACTTTTTTTATTTTTAGCTACCACTGCCTGCTATACATGTATATTATTTTCATTGTTATTCTTAAATGAATGTTGTTAATGATGTTCTGAAATGTTATTATACTTCAGTTTTATTTATTTTTAGCTACCAAAATTTCCCTTTAGTTACATGATTCTATATTAATATTCTCTATTTAAGTGGATTTTAAAAAGTGGATTTAAGTGGATTTTTTTACAACAGTAAGGATGGCAAGTATTCATAGAAAAGGTGAAAACATTATAGCTTTTTATAAAATATATCAACTTTATACAGTTAGAAGGATCTGTCCAAATTAACCACAGTAAGTAACAGAATTTGTTGCCAAAAATGTTGATATATAAGGTGGAATACTGTTATATTTTATTCTAGACTATATTTTATTTTTAGCTATCACTACCAGCTACTGTATATACAATAGGTATAATATATTCATATTCATAAGTTAATATTGCCTGTGATGTTCAGAGACGTTTTAATATTCACCTACAAAAATGTCCCTTTAGCATTATTCCATATTATGTGGATTTAAAGAAACATACATATTACAGTGGAGAAACATAAAATGAAGCAATCATCCACTAACATTTAATGCACCACAAGTGGTATCAATTGTCATTGGCCAGTGAATCACACAATGTACTGCGCCGGAGTACTGCAGACGTGGTAATAAGAACACATGTTCTGAGTGATATATCTGTACAGAGTGCATTGCAGACAGCATTCTAAAGTGAAAATATAAACACTAATGTGGTGAATTTGTATTTTTTCAAATAGTTATTTTTTGAACATTTTTTTAGCATATAAAATTAATGGTTTATTTCTCTGCCTTCTAGAGTCCACAAATGGGCACCTTCATTGGTGTGTACCTCCCCTGTATGCAGAACATTCTCGGTGTCATCCTCTTCCTACGTCTGACATGGATTGTTGGAACTGCTGGGATTCTGGAGTCCTTTGCCATTGTCTTTATGTGCTGTGCTTGTGTAAGTCCAGTTTATTCTATCTTGAATCGGTGTGTAACCACTAGAATGTAAGAATAATACAAACAGGAAGAGAGGATTAAATGTATTGTGTGTGGTTGCTGGTGGCTTATTTCTCCTGTGATTTCTTCAAGGTTCCTAGAGAATTGAGCTTGTAACATCCAATTGTGCCTTTGTTTTATTGGTTCGCTGTTGATCATAAGGTTATTTATTGGCTTGACTCATGTTATATTACCTGTCGGGATTTTTGAATGCTTGTGTAGCGGCAAGGCTTATTAAAAATACAGGAATTAAGTTTGCTGCTCCCTTGCCAGTCTCTCTCTCCCTCAATTCAGTGGTGCCGGATACAGAGAGGCCATTCTATTTGATCCACATTTAAGGTGTTTTTCTAGTTGATAGAGTTTCCTGATAAGGAACAGCTCCCAAGGCTGAGATTCACCAGCTACCCTAATAAATGATCATCTCTGGCGCCTTACTGTCTGGGAGATTCCTTGGGAGAGTCGCATCCCAGGTTGTTTACAACCCTAATGTCAGAAAGCATGGTTACTCATCCTCCGCCTCGATCAGCCAATCAGGAACTGGTAGGGCAGGGTAATCCCACATGGGTCTCGAATGCACGCAGAACATTCAACCAATGAATGACTTTAGTTCCTCCAGCTAAAACAGGCAGCACAAGGCCCAGAACGGGGGCTCCTCCAAGACATTCTTAGACTCATCTCGGACAATCACGTGACGGCTAGTGTGTCCGAGTGCCAGCACTTTACTTTGTTCTCAACCAAGTCGAGAACGGAGGTTGCTGCACATAACCAAAGGATCCGCCTGAGGTTAGCCCACCAGGAAGCCTTGTGAACCCACCACGAACGCTCACCTGATCAACGAGTGAACTACGGTCGGAACTGTGGACAGCTGAATCTTGGGATTCAGGACTAGCGCTGCATTGGGAACAAACCGGTCTTTTTCGTGTCTAAAGAGTGTGACTTTGCTTGGACCTGCAGTCACTTTTCATGTGCACAAACTCTGCTAGTTAAACTAGGACTAACTAGCCGGTCTTTAGAGAGCCTACTGCCAGTGTCGCAGCAGAAATCTCTCCCTCCTTCTCCCACACCTCCAGCCGAACCAGAACTGGCTGGCACCGGGCCAAAGGACGCCAATTGGACTTAGCAACAGCCTGCCCCTGTTCCCCTGTGTCCGCGGGAGATCTGAATCCACACAGATTGGATGAGTTCAACATTCAACATTCAACATATTCAACATTCTGCATTACAGTTCAAGCATTCAATTGTTACCTCAACCCCCGTTGATATCAGTTTAATTTCTATGAGTGACATACTTGCTTGCGAGTATCTAGTATAGAAGTTGTAATCAAAGCTCATTAATGAAACGATATAAATGAATGGTATACTGAATGTATGTTCCTCTTGGTATTTGTAACTCTTCGTGATTGAATACTATATATACCTTTTCACGCAGTAGGTGATTGGCTGGCCAAAATGACCGACAGGCGGCACTCATGGTGCATTGATTGTTAGTGAAACGATTGCTTCATTTAATCTCTTTACTGTGCATGTTTAAATCCTCTTAATATTGAATATTAATATGGAATTTTACAACTAAAGGGAAATTTTAGTAGCTGAGCATAAAAAGAAGAGGAGCATAACATATCTTAAGGTCATGAACCATATTAATTTAGGAATATAAACATATTATGTAAACTGAAGGTTTGATGTTTTTTTTATTTGAAACCGTGATCTTGACATGCAGGTGTGAAGTAGAGTTAACAGCTTCAGATTTGAAAGGTTATTAATAAAATCTTCCATGTCGCATTAACATTGGAATGTTCTTACAAGTGTAAAAATAGGTGATACACAATGTCTCCTCTATAACTCTTCAGTTTACAGAGAAATTCTGCCAGAGCCACACAAAATTGTCCAATAATACTCCTCTTGTGTCTACTTTCCAGGGAGTAACCCTGTTACAAAAGGGAACAGCGCATCAGTCCTTGACTATGGTTAAACAGTACTTACGATGTCTGATGGAGTTTCAGCATTCACTTTTCTGTAATCTGTACAAAACTGTGACGTCTCATCAGTGTTTGGTACCAATAAACGGGGGCTTCCCAGACTTCCTTTGAACTCAACTGCACTCCACTAAATAATGTACAGTTTATGACCTTCTACAATGCTTCTAGTTTAGCAGTATGTGCGCGATAAGCACATTGTTTAATGTATATGACATTACCCACGTCTTTATCAGTGTACGACACAGATTTGAGTCAGAGTGTCTGTTAATAATACAGAGCACCTTCCAATATATATATAACTACTGAATGATTTCTTTATCCGTTTCAGCTAAATGAGGGGAGTTAAATCAGTCAGAATCTTGGAGTGCCAATTGTAAAAATAACCCTTTGTTTAACCTAAAGAATTTCACCTTGCGTTTTCTGGCCAGAGCTCAAGTGCTGTACATGAGAGGTTAAGCTTTATTAGCTCTACCTGGCGGTTTTACAAGGCGCTTCCAGATACTATTATCATATTTAAATAACATGCAGTATGATGCATTATATATGCACCATGCCTACCTCTCACATTTTGAATGACTGGATCTGTAGATTGCAAGGGGAAAGGGTTTGTAAATATATTTTGTTAAAGCAGACACATTTTTCCAGTAGAGTTATTTAGCCCTTGTCACAAATGGAATCACTAAATAAAGACATAAATATAGAAATCGAAAGGTTTTTGGTGTAAAGATGTTGGTAGCAAAATGAATTTAAGGTTTAGAGAGCTGTCGAGCTGAGCTCAATGTATTTTTTGTCGCAGAGTTGGTGTAAGATGTTAACAGTGAAAACAGGCATTTAGAAATGACTCATTTCAAAAAGGAGATTTCCAGAATAATTACGATTACAAATTACAAATGTAAAAAGATAGGGCAAGAACAGAAAATAGGTAAAGACCCAGAAAACAGATCAGTATGCAAAGCTATTCAGCAAAGTGTGTGAGAAAAAGTGTTAAAGCAGTACAGTTTAAATATTTTTTTCGGGACCAGGGAAAATATGACCATGTTTCTCTATTACAATAATAATAAATTTTATTTTATGTAGCACATTTAAAAGCATCTCAAGGCAATACAGTTGTTATAAAAATAGTTATAAGGACCACAAATTACAAAGTAAATACACATAAGAAAGACAAGTGGTTCAGAAGTTAGAAAATGGAGCAGATACAGACACTAAATAAAAGCCTTTCTGAAAATAAAGGTTTTGAGTTTAGATTTAAATGTATTCAGGGTAGGTAACTCTGATATTACTGGGAATACAAATCCAGAGGTTTGGGGCACAATAAAGAGAAGTCTCTATCACCCATAGAATGCAGATGATCTTGAGCACATGTAGAAGACAAGAATCAGATGAACGAAGGTTGCAAGATGGGGAGTAGAGTCATAATAAGCCAGATAGGTACTGAATGAGTTGACTTGAAACTTTATAGGAAGCCAGTGCAAGGAAAGCCATAAAAGAAGCAGACCTTAAGTTTGGAGTGTCCGGACAGCTCATAGAGTAAGCTGTCAAAATTAGCTACTTTGCAAGTGATCTCAGATGGTCAGGACGCCATGGTGAAGCCTATGCCATTGGGTCTCTTCTGGACCCTCTGGTAGGGGGGCGTCCAGGCGTCCATCTCCTAATGCTGATCCAGGAATAGCGGGAGCACCATGCTTAAATAAGGAAACAGAACAGGGGACAGGTACACGTAATCAGCTATAATACGAAAGGACCGGAGTGCCCTTAAGAGGAGGGATTACAATCGTGACACACACGGGTTCAAATACATGAAATGCATTTATTAGTACATAAGATTGTGCATATAAAAACATATGACAGTCTTCCTGCATACAGATGGCAGATCTTATTGTGAGGGTTACCAAGATACAGAATATATGACAATCACGAAGAGATACAAGACAAGGAATATGCATTTAGTATACCATTCGGCTATAGTATCTTGTTAATCCGTCTCATTAATACAGATTCTACATTACATACTCATAGGTAAATACATTACATTACTTACTTGAATTAAATTGATATCAACCTGTGTTGAGATAACAATTGAATTCTCAAAGTCGGTAATGTAGAAAATTGAATTTATACTCATCCAGTATATGGATGTGTACCTCCCAGCACAGACAGCAAAGGAACAGTGTACAGGCTCTGTTGAAGCGGTATCCAATCCATGGTCTTCTGGCTTGATGCCCACCAGTCCTGGTGCAGCTTGGAGTCATGGGGAGAAGGAGAGAGAATGTTCTTCTGTCAGCTTTGCTCTGGACCATTGTTACTCTCCAGGGACCTGCTAGTTAGTGCCGAACTGGACTAGTGGAAATCTGTGCCCAGAGGTGACTGCATGGTCAGAACAAGTCTCTCTTGTTCTCTCTTGAGAAATAAACTTGGTTTGGTCCCGGCGTAGCGGCTGCCTCTGAATAAAAGTATTCAGGTGTCGACAAAAGTCCAACTGTATTGCTCCAGTGATCAGGCGGATACAACAGTGGTTGCTAGCAGTTAACGACATCTTGCTGCAGGCTTCACCTCTATGGCTCAGCACTTTGGGAAAAAGTTATAAGTCCCAACATTCAGATAACAACAGTCATGTGATTGTCAGACATCCACATTTCTCAAGCAAGTCCAAAGGAGCGCGAGAGTGACAAAAGAGCAATCTCAGAGCTCTGTGCAATGCACTGGAGGACATATGGTTGGTGATGACCGTACAATTTAAGAGGAGGACATACGATTGGTGATTGCCAGACAGTTGGGGTCCCCATACCCTGGAGCTTCCTGAATGGTTGGTCAACTTTAGTAATGATTGACCATGAACTCTGACTCTCTGACCATCCAGATGTGCTTAGGGTCTCACTAGACCACCAGGTGCCAAGAGTAGGCATCTATCATGATAGCTGGTTGCGTCCCGATCCTGGGAACTGTTCCTTATCAGATAGACAAACATCTCTAAATCGGTGCA